GCCGGCTCGGTGATGTCGTCCTTGTCGCCGGCGCGCAGGATGGCATGGATGAGCGCCTCCACGCCGCTGTTCTGCGTCACCAGCGTCTTGTTCTTGCTGTTGTTGCAGGTCAGGTTGGAGAGCGTGCCCGTGGCGCAGGTCAGGACGTTCACGTCGTCCACACTCAGCTGGTTCACCAGGATCTTCAGCACGCTCTCCAGGCCCTCCTGAGGGTCGGGGGAGCAGGCAGGCAGTGAGGAAGGTGCCCGAGGGGGAGCCCAGCAGAGAAGGCTAGCCCAGGCCCAGGCCCAGACCCAGCGGATGCCTGGTCAGCCCAGCTGCCCCTCAAGGGCTGTGATCCAGCCAGGCCTGTGAGGGAGCCCACTAGCCTCCAGAGGCTCACAGGTGGAGGGACTTGGCCAGGGACCTGTAACTAGCGGGTTGGATTTGAACCCAGGGCTGCTTCTAAGCACCATGCTTCCTCTGACCCATCCTGCCTCTCCCCTGGGTCTCCAGCACCAGTGATGCCCAGCGAGGCCAGGAGGGAACTGCGACCGAGGCCACACATGCTCATGGCCTTGCCAGCCCACTGGTGACTCGCTTTCACACACTCTGGCTCTGCCCTCCAGGCCCTCACTGCTGCCCTCAGTGGTCCTCAGGCTAAATCCATTTTCTGGAATCATCTCAAGCCCAGGGGTGGGCTTGGGCTGGAAGAAGAAAACCCGAGACTTTGGGGACAGGTAGTCCCCACCCTGCCGCCCTGACCCCAGGCCGGCTGCTGCATCTCTGAGCCTCAGTCGCTGCATCTAAACAACGGGGTCCCACCTGCTCCCTCCAGAGATGATGGAAGGGCGAAGTGAGCTAAGTCCATCATGCCCAGCAGATGCCCGCACAGGGCACATGCTCAGTAAACCATCCATTCCTCAGCCAAGGGCAGGGGTGGGGGTGGGGGTGGGGTGGCTCTCAGGAAGGTGATCTGGCTGGAAGGGGGGCCAGGTGACGTATCCTGAAGCTGCAGTTTCCTTGATTGTAACTGATTGAGCTGTCTGTCTCTTGGTGCCCCACTGTTCCCCATCCCTGCATCTGCCTGGCCCCACCAGACCCCACTTTAGAAGCACCAACCCCCTTTCTCTTCACCTCCCTATTCCCAAAGGGAATTAGATCCTTAAGCTAAAGGGATGAGGGCCTTCAGGGCAGCTCTGCTATTAGCTTCGAAGCTCTTGGCTCCTGTGGTCCTCAAGGTCAGGCTCGCATGGGAGGGATGGGGGAAGGGGAGTCACGCACAGGAGGGATGGGGGAAGGGGAG